CTTGTTAAATCTTTGAGAATGGGATGAAGTGTGTGCCCCTCAAAAGACTGTGTGCTGTGGAGGTGGATGATGCCGAGACTCTTGGCAATACCGCTGCCAAAGGGGAGGACTTGATTGAGAAATTCAACAAGTTCATGGCTGACAACAACATGAAGTGATTTTGGCATGGCGTTTGCACGTGCTTAAGTGGGTGTTGGACCCCTGGCCTGTAGCGATGTTCAGATACTCGTGTCTAAGCCTTTGGGGTTGGGTTCATAGGGTGGATGGGGCATTTGAACAAAATAATACAAACTATAGATTGAAACTCACTGTTGAATGCCCTCCCAAGCCAATTCTCACCGTGTTGCTTGCCTCGCCACCACTATGTTGTATGCACCAATGCTCACCTGCAGCGTGGCGCCAAGTTGAAGGGGGTTTTCACTAGTAGGATCTAGATCTATCTCGAGATCTCTTGATCGATCAACTATCGCACGAGTTGGAAAAAGTTGTTTCTGGATTAATTTGGTTTTGCTCCTTGATGTCAGGGTTCATGCATGTTTCTGGATTAATTTGGTTTTGCTCCTTGCTGCCAGGGTTCATGCATGCTTGCATACAACGCATGATCTTTTTGGTTTGGGCAGGCTATAGAGATGACAATGTGCCCTATGTTCTCCTGCAGCAAGTTGACAATGTAAGTTCTGGAGTTACTTGGCTGCTTCCTGGGACCTGCTGGGCAGGTGTGACCATGGGGTATATACATGCATGCATGCATGCATGAGCTTGTTAAAGATCCTAGTTGGCCTTAACATGTGTAACTGCTGATGGACATGAAGGCAAGGCACCTGCTTCAACCAAGGCTGCATCGGCTGGACAGGCCATGAACCAACTCCGGGCACACGTCCAGGTGCCTTGGTTGGAATGCAGCTCCAGGGTCAAGAAACTGTGCATGAACTTTGAGTTGCAAGAAGTTTAGCAATGCTACTGTCAAGATTGATTTTTTTGCTCGAGGAAAGCAAATCAGCTGTTCATCATGAAAGCGCAACACTGGGATTGAAGAGTGGGTGGAATGACAGCAGGGACTTCTGGAGTGCCACGGACATTCCAATAGTACCATGATTGTGTATAGAAAATATTTGCTGGATTTTGTTAACGCAGAATTCGTGCCACAAGAACATATCTCCTTCAAGTTTGTTAGATTCCGGTTCTGTTGAGGGATAACTAGATGACCGCTCTCCTGCTTTCCTTTCTTGCTTTTGGGTGGTGTCCATGTGAGGCCCAACACACCATTGCGGTGCCTGTCAAACACCCGAAAGAAGCTGGCAAAGTTGTTCTGGAACATCAACCTATTCTATTTCCACATGAAATTCTGTGGTATTTGTGGGACAATATCGGCCTTTCCTTGGATCCTCAGGAGGTGCAGAACTACTGGGCCAATGCTAGAGATGCTGGCGAGCCTTGGGCATTGGACTCCAGTGCCACTGCTCAGCACATCCCGGTGGGACTTTATGGGGATGCTGCCCGACTGTCCACCGTATTCCAAGTGCAGAACCAATTTGGGTTATTTCTGAACCTGGTCCTCTTCAGACCCAAGTCGGTTCGGGCATCCCGGTATTTGCTATGGAGCTGCGATAAATCCAAGTGCTTCAAGAACCGTACAATCAACAAAGTTCTCCGTGTCCTAGTATGGTCGCTGAACGCGGCATTCAGAGGCATGTGGCCTGTCACTGACTACAAAGGTTGTCCTCTTCAAGGATCTCATTGTGGTACTCCCCTCACATCTTCCGGCCAAAAGTTCGCGGTGACTGAACTCAGAGGTGACTGGGAGTTCCACAAACAGATTTGGCGATTCAAGGATTGCTCTTGGAAAGCTATCACCCCTTGCTATCGATGCCCCGCACTTTCAACTTCAGACAACGCACGGATGTTGTACCACACCACTGACAGCACAGCAGAATCTTTGTGTGATTAGTTTCTTCAAAGTTTTGGTTCTAGTATTCTAGAATTACTATATTCGTGCTCAGTTTGACCAAAAGAGGGTGTGCAGGTAGACCCCATTTCCCTCCCACCTAAGGAATGGCTCAATAAGGAGTTCACAAAAGAAGAGTTTATTCACCATCGCCTCCCAGACAAGAATCTTTGCAACTAGGCATCAAGGCTTTATTTACAGAACAGTTCACAAACCCGTTATCGATATTGTACTTAGTAACTTAGTATCTATGGGACATTTGGTTTCCAAAGTGCGCTCTGGGCTGAGGCCCATTGATGCTGCTGGAAGGATGGCACCCAGGACAAATAAAGATATGTTCCATGCATACCCTGAATCTTGGGGTGATGTTCAGTTGCAATGGCGCCTGTTTGACGCTACTATTTGCACAAGTCAGGTTGTGATTGGTCTATTGTAAGTACCACCTGAGGTATCCTGACCTTTTGTCCCAACATATCCCACCATCCACACAGAATCAAACCCAATAGACCACCCGTACTGTACTTCCAGGGTGCGCTGCGCCAGTCGCATCTGTGATCCAGGGATGCAGTTGTTGATGCTGTTCATGTTCATCCAACCTGAAGAAAAAGTGTGCGATGACACATTGAAGGTCTAAGTGAGTCTGATAGACTAGATATATAGATAGTAAACAATGAACATCCAATATATGTTATTAACGCTGATATCAGGTATTGCCTATTGGGTGGTAATCTATTTCCAGCTGCCCTGGTTGGTGCTCCCATTTGGGCCCCAAATAGATTAAAACTAAAATAGATTAAATTTTGTAAGTGGGATCAATGTCAATCCCCAAAGATCCAAATGCGCAGCTTAGGAAAATCCTGTGTAAGGAAGTGCAATTCTTTGGAGGAGGTTCCTTCCAAGATGCTCTTGACCAGGCCTATCAACACTTCAAAGGATGGTGCCTTGTCAAACGGATTCACCATTCACAACCGCCCTTCAAAGTCAAAATGGAATCTTGAACTTGAAGAAATCGAACCTTTTGCTACTTTCCCACCATGCATTGTTTTGGAACTTGAAGGCACTTCTTTTTTGAGCGTCACTGAACATGTTGGATCTGGAATGTGTAAAATATGTTGAAAAGGGGATGGTGAAGACCGTCCAGAATCAACATGACATGTACGTGTGTGATCCTTGAATTCAGGTTGAAAAAAAGACTGGGGATGTCATGCTAACCATCAAGGCATGGAACGGACGAATTGTCCTCCAATGGCTTGCTGATATATTGGAGACTGTGGTTCTTTCTGGACAACACCCAAACAATGAAAGATTGCCCTTGGCATCCACGTTGATGTTCCCCAGTTGCATTTGCTTGCAATCGTTTGTATTCAATACTCACCAGTGGCCCTTTCTGTTCTGCCCTCCTATTGCCTTTGAACCTTCCACCAGGACATCGCTGGCGAGATTCTTCTGGCTGTCTGAAAGCCATGGGCGTGAATTGCAGCTTGGCATGGCTTGGTTGTGCAATTGGGCAACAGCAGAGTGAACAGTTACAAACCCTACTAGTACGACCATGCTGTGTTTTTGAGGCCTCAACATATTGCGACGGCTATGTGGAAAGAAGGTATGCTGTTCCTGGATGCATACAAATGCCTCCAGATATTGTCGGTGAGGCCTGGGTAAACTTGAGTGATGAAATTGTAAAAAAAGATCCTATGCTTGCAGTTGCATCATGTACGAACAATCATGTACGACCCATGATGCACCAGGCTTGGAAAACACCAATTCTTGATGAGACCAAAACATCATGTCCCCCAGTTGCATGCAGTTCACTGTGTTGTCAGGTTCTGCTTGTACCTTTTCTTTTGCCTTATGCTGTGCACATTGTAAGTACTATTTGATACTTGTTGCTGCCCAACTGAGATGTTTGCGCACCTCGTATGGGACACCTTGAGGTTCCGTACCTTGCCTGATCTTGCCTGTCTCCAGAACTGCAATGTGTTTGGCTGTCCAATCATCGACCTACAAGTGGCCTACATCGACCTAAGGCAAAAACTGTCGATTTTGGCACTGCTACATCGATGAAGATGGCATGCGCTGGCTCAAGAGACCCTTGGTCTCAATTGGGAGTTTGCTTGCATGCATGCATGCATTCACAAATTGTTGTGATTTGTGAGCTGTGTTTATAACAATGCATCTTGGATCTAAGAAGTTGCCAATGGAATTCCTGCCAAACATAGATCCAGATGGGTTCTGAAATGCGGCAAGCTTCGCATACGTTCGATGCGGCACAAATTGAGTGAGCTTCCTGGAATGTATTATAACTTGTTCCACATGCACAGATCAGCTTTAAGGAGCCTTAAGATTATTCTGTTTGATGGGGTCCAAGGCTGATGAGCTCTTCACGAAGACGGCAGTAATGCACTGGCCGGCCTTTCTTGGAAAAAAATGTGTCAGTGCTTGTCCAATGCTGGTCCAAAACCATAATGGGAAGAAGGCAGTGATGTTTTGGCCTTTCTTCAAGAAAAGTGTGTCAGTGCTGGTCCAATGCTGATCCAAAACCACACAATGGGACGAAGACAGTAATGCACTGGCCTTTCTTTCAGAAATGTGTGTCAGTGCTGGTCCAATGCTAGTCCAAAACCACAATGGGAAGAAGGCAGTAATGCACTGGCCTTAAGTGTGGCAGTGCTGGTCCGATGCTAGTCTAAAACTACAATGGGTGAAATGTAGGTTGTCACGTCGGCCATTATTAAAATGTAGGTTAGACTTGTAGGGAATATGATTGAACGTAACTTGGATCCCTTCTCCAAGTCACGCTTAACAGGCCTCAATTCAACCCCTCAGCCCCAAACAACTTCAGCTGAAAGATCTAAGTACATGTGCGACGTGTGGCCCAAAGGTTAGTATCCAAATTGTTAGGTCTTAGGTTCGCTAGGTATAAATACTCTTACCTGACAGGTGGGAGTGGGGAATAACTAAACATACTAAAACAAACCATAGCCAAACTCATAACTTTTCCACCTTACCATATGGATCCAAATGCCCTGGGTCCTCCCTCCAGTTTCAGTCATGGCACTGGGCTAGTGTAGCTGCGCCAGCCTGATTTCAGCAATGCCCAAGGAGGCAAACTTGCCCCTTCTGACTACAAACGCGAGTCAGTCACCTGCCACCTTCCCACTAAAGCCTGCTGCGTCAGGACCCACTTTGTTGATCGCCAATGAACACCCTGAAACCGTCTGCCATCCTCCTGCATTCTCCTACGTCGTTTTTTCTAGATCCATGCTGGCCGCATCTGGTCGCGGCAGTCTCCTCCCCGCGCCTAGCTGCGTGGCCGCGCGTGAGGCGATCGGCTCTGAGGGGCGCTCGAAGGCACCGAGGTCGGACAACTTCAAACGCATCCGACCCATTCCTCAGATCCGCCACCGGCGCCGGGAGCCACCGGCTTCGGTGCGTTGGAAGAAGTCATTGATATATCGTCATGAAGAAAATGCGAGTTCCAAGTGTGGAAGCCTCCACACTACACCCGAAATGGGCCACACCTCCAACAAAGCAACAGCTGGCTCACAAAAATGTACTAAAAACCTGTCCTCCTCTAAATCCATGAACATCATCAACCCCTACACGATCCAATCTCCTCAACCGAGCTCTCTCTGCGTTCTTCACCTCTTCAGCAACCGACCTCACCAACCATACCGACCTCTGCCGGACCTCGACTTCGGCCCACTTCCTGCTTCCTCAGGCTCCATCGCGGCGAAGGCGGACGGATTCCGGGGACAAGGCCAAGTGGTAAATGCCTTGTTGGTGCAGCGCTGTGATGGCTCGCAGCAAGTCTTCGGCACCTCGGCAGATCTGCAGAAACGGGAAGGGAAGGGAAGGGAAGGGGAGGAAGGTCGACGGGGAGGTCTTTTTGAAAGAGGGTGACGGGTTTGGGGGCCCAGAAACAACTGGAGATGATCCATGGGAAGCAAAGAGAGTTTATGTCAGGTTTAGAAGGCCGACTGGGATGTGAGAGACATAGCAAAATGATGTAAAAATGACTTCAGGCTACCAGTTAATCCCTTCCACCTATTAATAAACACGGGGGCCCCCCCTCCCTAATAAGAGAAACTCGGTCGCATCTTTTCTAATAGGGGGTCCCTGAAATCGGGGGGTCCAACATAGGGTCACCTGGGAAGAGCTTCAAAACCAAAAAGTCATCCAGAAAAGTTCGGAAAAGTTTTATATAAAATCTTTTATATAAAATCTTTAATTATTAAACTCGTATCAAACATTCAAAAAAACTTCCATCTTCCATTTCCCCTACAAAAACCAATTTATTAGAATACTGATTCTTCATTAGACTAACAACCAAAGCTTTCGAAAGGTGATGTCGCTGTGCCATGCGGTTTTGCACGACCTCGGTGGCAAGTGCGTTTGCGTGAGTCCGTGCCATTGGAGGAAGGAAAACTGGCTGGTGTAAACGCGGCGTGTCACGAGGGAGAACCTATAAAGAAAAAATACCCCCAAAATCGACCATGTTGGTAGTTTAGTAGCGGTTTGAAAGGGCGGTAATTTAAAAACAAATATAAGCCGAATTTAGGGCTTCGGACGTTGTGTTTTTTAAATTGGGGAGTGTTTATTAATTGGTACTCGGGATTATTTGAGGGCAGCCCCCCCAAAAAAAAGCAGGTGATAGCGCGACTGGCGACCTCATGTCTGACACAGCCTAGTGAGGCAGTGAAGCAGTACAGGTGATAAGTGAACCAAGCTGAAACGTATTAACAGAAAGAGCGGTGCACCCTGCACAACAACCAAGCTCTGTGTCCCCAGAGTCTTCTAGACTTTGGCACACAGAATATCCGCATGTCTTAATAGTTTTGAACATCAAAGTCTCCACTTCCAATCATTTCCGCGAGCCTTGGGGCTTTGGGCCAAGGAGCATTGGTCGTTGTCCTCTGCTGTCAGGGTTTCGCTACTAGAGCCTCGGTGACCCACGAAGAACGCGGGCCGCCGACGCTGCCATCGACAAAGTCTGGGACTGCTGTCAAAAAGGATGGACTTTGCGACTGCACGATGTCCCTCTTTAAACCAACTATTGCATTGTTGCATGTATCAAATAAGTTTGCTGGCTGTCCGGAGAGCTTCTTGCCTTTGCATGCCTTTGCCACGATCTGCTTGGCAATTTCAACCACATAAACGATATCAAACATAATGGTGACTGAGAAACTCATGATCTTTGATAAGCTCTCGCCAAAATCCTCGAAAAGCAACATGTGAGCACCGGATTCCTAGGCAGCAAGTGCAGAGTGTTACTGTCCATGCAAATGCAAAGGCTACTAAACCAGCTGGATCTTTCTGTCAGAAGGGATTTTGCACACTTGGTGTGTTTGGCTGGATGAGATGCATCAACAAAAAGCAACAATGCAGCATAATGCAGTGCAAACCTGATTGGTTCACCATGAGCTAATCAACTTAAAATGTTCAACACATCCTCTGACCTATTTTTTTAAAGCAGTTGCTTCGAAGCATTCCAAGCATCGGTCTTCACATAGCCCTCGAAATGCAGAATCTGCTCGGGCTGGCCGAAGGTGCCCGTAATCCGTTTGAACGCATTGATGATCTCTTCCTCAAACAAACACATGCGACGCACGACGAGACTAGCACGCTATAGTCCTCAACGCCGCGTGAATCATGCCGCGACGCACGACGCAAAGGCGTGAAGGCGTGCCGTGCCCCCATGGGGAATGGGTCGACAGGCAGAGTCAGCGCAAGAAGGCTCACTTTGGTGAAAGCCGATGGGACAAATGATATCTGGAAACGCTGTATTTGACAGTATATTCAGATGATTTGCTGTTGACTTTATTTATTATCGGATGTCTTTGGCATGTCCTGTCCTATGGTACCATCTGTGGGCTCACAACTCTTGCTGAACCAACCTGGAACCAAACAGGACTCCTGCCCTATCAAAGAAACAAGGACCACACGCAAGACTACTGGCCGTACTGGGGGCGAAGCAACTCGGGGCTGCCCGTCCGAGCCAGGCATCTTTGGCTTGGATGGGAACGATCTTGGCCAAATACATGGTGCCTGCACTTCGGAGCATGTCCATCCCAGTTGGAAAACACCCTTGGTGGGCACATGTGGGCACCCGAATTCAGTCGATCCAGCAAACATGATCACATGTCTTGGATGCATCTTGACATCTCTTGACCCATGCACACCTTGCCATCACCCCTGACAAACACCGAAACACACCACGAAAAGGTGCGAAAAGTATGAACATCACTACCATACGCGCATTGGTTTTTATGCACAGTGCAGGGGCTTTCTGCCCAAGCAAAGCAGGGACTTTCAACACACAAGGACACCACTTCCACTCTCACCACAGCGCGAAGCATGTACCGGAGACCCGCAGTACTTTCAATAAGTTGACCTACATCAATTCCCAATTCCAGCAGTGCCATGCAACCTCCGATGGCTATGTTACACTCCATTCCAATTCACTGGAGTCCAGTGGAGGTTCGATTTAGGTTGCCGCCCATATCCACATCCAGCACCCCATGAAAAGAGAGGCCATCGCGAAAAAGCTTTCCTCCACATTCCACATGGCTGCATCATTTCGCATGGCAAAAACAGGTTGTCACTATGGCTCTCTCCGAGAGGTCATTCATGACAGGTAGTCAGTATCAGCCCCTCAGCTCGCCGCCTTTATGCAGGTACTTGGTGCCCAGGAACCCGGCCGAAATCACCTCAGCAGCTACCGCAACACATCTACCAACGGCCACGGCTACGTCTCGGAGAGACGCGTCACTTCGAAAATGCCACCAGCTCCAAACACACCATGCTGAAACAACTCTTGACTATATACTGAGTGCACGGTATATTATCACAGTACCCTCAGAGTCCATGGACCCTTCAAAGTAGGACCTCCGTCGAGGAGGCCCTCAAAAGGCCGATGTCCGAGAAACCATAGAAATCCATAGAAGTTGCTGGGGTTTCACAGCCGAGGAATCCGAGGAAACCCAACAAAGGAGATATAGGATCCTGTGAAACCTTGGTCCACAATTTAATGACAACCTTGACAACCTTGGTTGTGAGCAATCTTGAAAAAAAAGTCCACTCATTCATATAGATGCCATGCCAATGCTCACGATTGCTCACGCTTTGCTGGAGGATGTTGTTTTTCTGTTGAAGTTGTTTTGTGCCTTTGAGGACCTCCGAGGTACTTTTCAGGACCTTTGCTCACGCTTGCTCACGCTAGCTATGAGCGGACAGCACATATTTTTTGGTGGGGGTCTGGAATTGCACGATGCCAAATGTCCTCAATCAAGCCAACACCAGCAGTGAGGGCTCATCAAATAGCCCCCTCGCCGATGTTCTTTTTAGGACCTCTTTTCTCAACAAATCCGAGGACCCTACAAAGGGGTATAGTTGTATCAATATACATTCAGAATGCCTGTATCAAGTAGCCACCAGCAAAAGAAACAGGGAGACACTGAAAGAGAGTCCCCCAGCAATGCTGGCCTCTTCCACTTCTTCAGGCCACGCATCCGCAATCACATGAGCCGACCCACCGGCCATCATGCCATCACATAAGGTGGGGCCAAGGGCGTGCAAACCCAATCAAGCCGAAGTGACCCGGACCCTCGCCAGTGGATGCCCACGCCAGTCCGAACCTGAAGGCTGGAAAAAAGAATTGGATGGCACCAAGTGATGAGCATCTCTCCTAGTTTGGGGCTCCAGTCTTGTCAAAGGCTCTGCCCTCGAAAGCAAAAGGCCATCAAAAGGCCCCATTATAAGCTCATCTGTATAAGCCCCTTGAGCAAATGTCATCCTTCAACCACTGACACATCATTCCTCGGAAACGAGGGGCCCATCTGCCGCACGACCTTGAAGCACACGCGAGCGTCGGCGCTTTGGAGGATAGAGGCTTCCTGGAATTCGACCTCAACCCAACGGGAATTGCAAGGGAAAAGAGATGGCAAAGCAAAGGAAAACAGCCTTTCAGGGTGCCATTCTTAGTTTTCGGGAGTGTAGTTTCTGAGAAAATGAGACATACAATGAATGCATGTATGTATACAATCACCATTGTCATTGTCATAACCCACATGGTCTTAAGGAAAGTGAATAATAGTTGGTGGGACAAAACAACCTAAATCAACACAAACATGTAAAGGATGACATTGAGCCTTTAATATCTTCAGCCTCTATACAAAGCAAGTGCGCAGCAAGTGCAAACATCCGGCCAAGTACAATTCCAGCTGCCAAAAAAGGCACTAGAACATTTGGCAAGCATTGGCAATCATCCTTTTAATTATCAAGCACATCATGTAGACTGGTAATTGTTCTAAAGCCACCACATGAAGAGGATATCCAATTCAACTTTGCGAAAAGCAAAACACGGGCCCAGTAGATCCGACCGTCAGGTCACCATTAAGAGACCTGTTAGGGCCCAACAACCCTCAACTAACGACCTGGCAGTGAGGGTGCTGGTATAAACAACAGTCTCCATCTATCAAGGTGCATCTTCCACATTCCGAGAGAGTCTCCAGAACAAAGGCCCTGGCAGTGAGCCGAGGGCGAGAGAGCCGAGCCAAAGCTAATGGGCTTGAAGCGGCTTGATCAAAGGGGCCGGTATTTGTTTGATATTTGATGTCATGTTGCACATCCAGTTCTGCCTCCCGTTTTTTCGACTCTTTAGGAATAGCTCTCTCTCTCTCTCTCTTCCGCGGATTCCAAAAGCGGCCATATTCCTTGGCCTGGAAAGATCTCGAACGAGGAGCCATCTTCGAAGGACACGTGCAAATCCTCGAATTCTCGGCCGTCCCCCCGGAGCTCGAGCCGGCCGGACGGCCATGTGCTGGTTATCCTCAAATACCGCTAGGTCATGCGTCCATAGCGTCTGGCCAACAAGGACGAAAATGCTGGCTGAAGGGCATCACGGATGATTCATGTGGCGTGCAACACAAAAATTGCGTGCGTTATGGCGCAAAAGATGCGCACATGCATCATAACATGCCCATCTCGAGCTTTTGACTCACAAAGCATGATCAAAGCACTTGGCCCCAGTGAGTTTCGATCTGGCCACATGGCCTCCGAAGCCGATGAGATCACAGTTTCCTAACCCCAAGTCTCCAGAGCGGATGAACCGCGCCCAAGGTACGCCAACTCGAACTTCCAGGGGTCCTAAGCCCTCCTGGCCTCGGATTGTTCGATCGGTGTAAGGGGACGCCTGGAGGGAGACCAGGGTCTCCCTCGCCCCCCAAACCCAATCCAGAGCCTTGACCAAGGATGAATTGGACGGGTACTCTTCAAAAACGATGGAACTAAGGTTCTTGTTGCCAAATGGAGTTGTCGACGAAAGGCACCAAGAAGGATTGGCGCTTGAAGAGCAGGAGCACTCTGTAGCACAATGAAAAGTTTGCCTTTCGCCTTCTAGTGATCATCCTTCAACCTTGCCAAACAAGTTTATTCCGACGTCAGGAAAAAATGATGGGTTAAGCCTGCATCTATCCTGCTAAGCCAACGGGAAAGGTCCGAAGAATACAGTGGACGCAAATCACACTCACCATCACTCACCTGCATTCCACAACACTAGGCTCACCCTCCGCAGTTGAGCTATACGCAGAAGGCTCCGCGATGCTTTTCTTTTGTCTAGTTGCTCTCCTCATCGAACGCTTCCACCTGCGCCAGCGCAGGGAAGCCGTGAAGACCGTCTTCGAAAAGCTCCGAACTCCAATCACATGCGATCACTGCTATGAGTACTCAAATATGAAGCTCGGCGCATACTTAAGTAAGCAAGCAAACAGCAAACCTCATTAGTTTATCTAGAGCCGGTCTTCTACGAGGGCATACGGAAGGGCGACTCCGGACCAGGAATCAAACACAAACTTGCTTCACCTTGAGCCCATCTTCTCCAGCATTCTATCTGGCCCTTTTCGGCATTCTCGATGACATGCAGGTCCGTGACGTGCAAACATGGTGTACAGTAGTGTATAGGTCCGTGGGTGCTCAGACTGGGCTGGGGCGGCTGGGGCTCTCTATATGGTGACGAGGTCCGTGTGCCCAGACTGAGCTGGCACTTGCAGTGACATGAGGATGGCATGGAGGAAGGAGGAGGAAGGAGGAGAGGAGGGGGAGTGGCACCTTGTTAAGGTCTATATAAAGACCCTCACCTGGCAGGTGGGGAATTAAGAAACACAACCTCCAGTACAAAGGGGGTTCTTTCCAAAGCTGCAGTGCATGCCTTGACCTTGTTGCCCTTGGGCACCAGCAGCATCTGTGCTGCATCACGGCGGCGCAAGGCGATGCGGCACATGCTGGAGCGGCGACCCACGGCTAGGTCCAGGTGGCTCTGGGGCTGTAGAAGGTGGCCTAAGTGGTGCGAAGCGGAACAGGGAACACACAAAACGACGGGAAGTGACTTGGACGGTTGGAGGACGTCGGGAAGATATGGAAAAATCTATACTGTATCTTTCTGGATTCTTGCTTGAGATTCTATCTTAAAGTTTTAAAGACATGCTCGCAAACAACGCGTGTGCAAGCAAACAACAGTGACAACAAATGACGTGTGCTATGACAAATGTGCTACAACTCAACTTTTACATCGAGGCCACAACCCCGCCATGCTACTTCCAACAAGAAACCAAACAACAAAAAGACTGACTGACCAGAAAATACATATATAGCCACGTGAATAGTGCGAAACATGACAGGTGAGATGTGACATCAAGTACACATCACACACATTTAAATGCTTTGTGACGGTTCAATCAACGTCTGAGCAATCCGTTATTAAATTCCAGTCATTGTGAGTGGCCAAGAACCAGCGCACCACGGGAACGGCTCAGAGCGGCCAAGGGACGATCGCCACCCAAGATGTATGGCATGGTGTCCTGCTTGCAGTGCAGTCACGTGCTGAGGGAAGCTGAGGGAGGTCGGATTATGACGTTCCCAATGCAATCACTTATGAAAAGATGGGGGATGGGATGGGCAAGGCCGGCTAGTATTGCAGGCAAGGTTTCAGGGGAAACGGAGGTTCCGTGGTTGGGTACCCAGTTTGGGAAAATGGGCCAGAAGGTATTTGAGAGGCGGTGCGCACTGGAGGAAAAAAACGGACCTTAATTATAGGAAAGCGTTCCTTAATCATGGCTTAATTTACATTATATGCGGATAAGGATGATGGTTAGTAGAAGTCTATTCCTTCTGTTTGTGGTATCGGCCAGATTGAAAACCAGTGGATTGTGGATCCACTTGACAATGGCTAGCTGAAGCAAGTGATGATTTTGGTACACTGAGTCCTCTCATGCTTTAGTGGATCATGCTTGGGATTCGGAGGCAAATGTCCGAGAGGGATCAGTTAGACATGGAACTCCTGCTCGCTCCTGCTGCCCACATCTTAGCGCAACGCAACGCACACCTAAACCCCCTAAACCGCCCCCCAACTGGCTGACACAACTCGCCACCCTCAACAGAACCCCTCACCACCCACGACTCGCGCGCCTTTGGAAAGGCCAACACCTCCAATTGCGTCTCGAAGCCGTTCCAAAGCCGCACGCATTGAGGGTTCAAGGGCACCTCCGTCTCTTCCTCCTTCACCGCATGTCACGGAACTGTGACCAGGTCTGATATGGTCTGATGGAACTAAGTGAAATGGAACAAAAAGACTTTACACCTTCCTGACCGAGTACCCGTGTGGCACCTCCCACGTCGGTGCCAAGAAACACGCGATGTCGGAGTGACAATGGTGATTGAATACAGGTTCCTGTAGATGTACAGTAAGTCTCTTTTCATTGCCAAGTTCTTGAAAACCAGTGGTGACCAGAAACTGCCAGAAACCAAGAAAAATGGCATGATCATGTTGAACAAAAGGCTTGTCTTTTTAAAACCTTCCTCTTCATAGTTGCGATTCCCCAAAAAAAACATGTCCCAAAAAGGTTGATCTGCAGGTTGTTCAGCTATGTAGGTAGTGCTCATTTTGTTGTGTTTTATGTTTTCTTGGGAAACCAAGAAATCTGATCCAATCCATGAATTTGCTCTACAATCTTTTTTTTCACAATAAAACTCATCAAATATCAAATCTATACAGTGGATCAACGCCTTCCGCCTTCCTCGCGCGACCGTCCGGCGACCTGGAGCTCCAGTGGGCGACCGAAGAAGGCCAAACGCACGCGGGACGAGGAGCTTCTTCCTGCCTGGTCTTGGGGTCTTGGGGGCAACATATGAGTGATGGGCAACAACGAACCTGTTTTTCTTTTTACTCCGGCTAGCATGTAGTATGATATTTTATGAGAGTATGGAGTCGCTGGACACCAATGGACCAAGCCAATGATGGTAGGTTGTGGTTCCGGTGGGCCTTTGTAGGAGGATCTGGTGGTCGAAACAATCCAAAAACAGCATTCTCATCATGCTCACATGCCTTAGAACGAAGGCTTGGGCCTTTACTAAATCACCTTAGCTAGAATCATGAATCCTATTTTCAGTTCTCACCCTTGCGGAAAAAGGTGTGCGGCTGCACCAGCCTGAAGCCAATTCATCATACCCTCCGTCGGAACAGCCTGCACCCGGGTGCTTTTTGAGCCATGCCTGCTTGGCCAGTCCCACTGTTGCCAGGCGCCAGGAAGCCCCGGGATGAGGATTGAGCGCCTGCAGGAGTTTTGCACGTAGGTCAAGCACTAGGTCATGCTGAGTCATGCTCGTTGCACTAGGCGCAGGCCCTTTCCCCATTTTTGCACACTGAACAAAGAGCAATGTTGAAAAAAATCACTGATCAACAAAGCCCAAAGATTCTCTGTCTTGGATCAAGCCCTCCAGTTTATTGTCAATTTTCCCACAGCATCCCAGAGCACCCCATGGCTGCGTCCCAAATAGTTTATTTCATGGACCTCGGCGACCTTGGAGAGGTCCACCTCCAGATTGTGGGCATTGTTCAAAAACCCTATGGATCCACATACCCTCTGAGAAGGTGATTGGGGACACTTTTGCGTAGGCTTAGAGGGCCCAATTACCTTCTGAGAAGGTATGTGGATCCCTAGATTCTTTTTTTTTTCTTATGCTTCAACGCACCTTTCCGGACCCAAAAGCCATACCCAGCCGCCAGCAGGTTGCCAGGTTGCGTCGTGATTGACTGGCACCGTCACGCAAAACACCATTATCTGGCCATATCGACCCTGTTACCGATGTTGTGCAGCCAAGCCAGAGGATCTGACATTCTTTTAACGCCACCTGCTGCCATTCTTCTCCAAACCCGACATATATGATATAGCTCGAACAAGGTGTTTGTGCAATGCTTGTATCAGTGCTGCTGGACGCGCTAAAAAATGATATTGATCACAATAATAGTTCACTTATTGTAACAACGGCACGCTGGATTCTAAACTTGCGAGCGGAAAACAACTAACTATTTGGAAAACAACAACAAGAACCTGGATACACACATGCATTACAAACACCAGCGGTTCTTGTGGTAGATCTGTTAAAGCTTCAATTTCATTCAATTCATGTGATAGGCTGTATATAAAGGTGAACATCAAGTGCTTGAACAGTGGAAGTTCTCTCTCTCTCTCAGCATTCCGAAGCGTCCCCAGGAACTGCTGAAGAAGTACCACAACGCAAACACAAATCTATACGGCCGCTGCGCCCTTTCGGGGCCAGGGCCAGGAAGGTGTGGTATGGAGTAGCCACCATGCGGGATCAACATATTTGTGCTCCAACACTGACCAACTCCAAGAAACAAACAGGCCACTTAGTTTTGCCATGTTTTGCGGAGTGCCCTAATAAGTAGCTACAACTTGGCCTATCGATGGATGCTGGGATTGCATATGATTACATTTTGTCAATATTCATGCAATAGACACCTATCCTTTGCGGGGACGGAGCAAGGCCTAAGGCATGACGAGAATACCAAAACACACAAGAAACCAGGGATCCATTTTTGGAGCAGCCGGGGCCACAATGCGGAACATCTCTTCCAAGCGGCAACAGAAATTGCGAGGAATGTAAAGGGAGCACAGCAGTGGGACATGATTGAACATTCGTAAGAATCCATAACAGCGACAACAGCAATAACGACCAAAACCTTGTACAAGGTTACAGCAGTCAAACTAAGCCGTAACGATGACCAGCAGCCAGCAGCTACAGTGATTTCCTCCCTGTTTCGCACCCCGTGGCCCACACCTTTGGCCCAACGCCATCGGCTTTCGCCGCTGTCGCCCTGCGGAACGGTCGCTGCAAGCCCTGGAGAGGCGGAGGCGGAGAGGGCGCGTTGCGCCGGCCGGGCCAGTGACACCATGAATCAATATTGTCAGATAGGGATCGGGTACCACCGTCATCCAAACCATTGGACAACAGAACAGATATCCAAACAGATATCCTGCTGTTAACAGTTAACAGGGTACCACCCACTTTGGGCAGGTGACCGACTTTGGGCACGGATTGAGCAGAAACCAACTTGGAAGTAAATAGATGGCACAGCAGTCACAGCAGCTTTCCTCGTTTTCCATATGTGCAGCTTTCCTCGCTGGTTCAACCACCCACCTGCCGACTGCCCAGTGCCGCAAGCGGTGCTGGCCGCAGCATGTCATAGATTCGTTGTATTCAATGTAGATTCGTTGGTGGCATGGTGGCACCATGAATGAGGGTTTAAAACGGCTACCAACCATTCAGGTCACCTTAGAGGACCCATACTGGGGTACCTACGGGATAGTCTAGAGGGTCCTTCAAGGTTCTTCAACCTCTGTTGGCATGGACACGGGCATGTATGAAGTGACACTTTTCCCACCGTACGTATCATGTTCACGAGCATGCATGCCAGTTCTTGCTGCTGCGAAACATGGGACTTGATTTCACACATGTGCCCCTTCTTTTCCAGCAGGCGACACTGCTTTGAGCCCCACCAGCTGCACAAACACGGTGTGAACAATCTGACCATCTATATAAAAGCTCACACGGATCATGTTCAAGGACAAGTCCCAAACTTGCCCAATTCACGTCTCAGCGCAATACGGGGTGCAATTGTGCAGGTGGGGCTGAAGGTGCATTTGCACAACAAAAGTAAGCCATGTCTTCCTTGCAAGCAAGGCTGTGCAACTTGCCAGCATCTTGAATGATTATGCATCCTGTCTGGAGTCATCTATATTATACTTGTATGTTTCCTCGTTCCGCTATGTAACTTGGGCTATGTTGCACAGTTCATCAAGAGAGCACCAAGCCAGATCTTCCAGGATAGCCTCCAAAGAGACGTTGCTTTACTTGGGGGGCCTATCCTTTTGCCAGGAATGATCCTGATCGTGATCGTGATTATGATGATGACGATAAGGATGACGATGACGATGACGATGATGATGAGGATGATGATGACGATGATGACGATGCGTGCGTCACAGGAGTCGATTGTTCTATGGTTAAGCAGGGCAAGCTCTGCAAACTCCAGCGAGTCCAGTACTGCGTGCAACGGCCGCTCCATGCAGTCCAGGTTCCTGGAAAAACCTGGCCCCAGCGGCAAAATGATCCTGAGGCGCACGTGAAGAGCTGAGCCAGCCAGGGAAACTGGTGCTGCATGACACAGCACTATTCGGAGCCAAAGGAGGTGGCGCGCTCTAAGCTTGAAGAAGCTGCACGAAGATGCAGCTTGCTGGGGAAAATGATTCTAGATTCTAGATCTCCTGCGGCTGGTCCAGCCGGCCACCGCAGCAGTCCGCATGGATCAAAACCCACCTGACCCACCACTTTTGCGGACTGTTGAAGAAGTGGCTGTGGTCGTTCCAGCAGCAAAGTGCTGGAGGGTTTGGTCACCCTTGTTGACTTACTAGCAACCCACTCTTTGTAGCAAAACCTGGCAGTCCAGGCAGGGCACGGGGGGCGAGATCCCATTGACCGGACCAGAACCTTGCCTGTTCTGCATCAGCGACAGCCAGTTCAGCTGCAAAAGCTAGTAAGAGGCGTAGCACATCACAGCGCACAGTTCATGACCGCCTTGAAACCGCTTTAGTCAGTCTCCTACACCAACCTGGCCGCACATGGGCGACTGACAGAGCCCCCGCCATCCGCCATCCTTGGCACATCAGCGTCCCAACTAGAAGACTGGACATGACAATGCCATCTAAGGCACCAAGCACTTGGAACTTGATGCGGACATGACTAGCCATTGGGCCAAAGTATGATCTTTTGGATGGGACAGCTCGGTGGTTTGTCTCCCTCCGAGGTGTCAGCATTACTGTCCGAGGAGTCTACGCCCACTAACAGCGTGTGCAGAGTCTGACGATTAGTGGGCGGCCTGCGTATGTGCACTACCTGCACATGAGGTGCGCAGCCTCTTTGGCAGCCAGGGCCACTTCGAGCTTTCCAGCCGCTGCGGAGTGAGAGTGTCTCACAACTTGCCACCAATCAAATTCCACTTTCGCATGCGCAACCGTGCCCTGATTTGTAGAGCGAATCCGCTCAAGGGTGTGGCACGCGCCTCGGACTTGAGAGTCCGAGCGGTTAGAGAGAGACAGAGAGAGAGAGAGAGAAGACTCTAGGAGAAGGAAAATGAAGAAAGGGAAGGAACAGGAAGATGAAGATGATGATGACGACGATGATGACGACGATGATGATGATGGTGAGGAGGAGGAGGAGGAGGACGTTGATGAGTCTTGTGTCCTAAGCAGCCAAGCAGGGCCAAACAAAGGCCCCAACACTCTGCCAAGCTGCCAAACTCCAGCAGTCCACTCCGAACTCAACGGCTCCTGTCTTTTCACGCGCTGATCCACTCCCCTCAAGTGACAAAGGCTTGCCTCCCCTGGCCGAGCGAAAGCTCAGCAAATGCCGAACCGACGGGAATTCCCGCACGAAACGAGGCATGATTGAATCGGACAAATCAAGCAGATTCACACTTCGAACTTGGATTTTCAGTTAACGCAATTTCCCGAGGAAAGGAATGGCTCAACGGTAAGGTGGAAAGTCAGCTCAATTGTAGATGTTTCAACAAAAAGGTTTTCATACGTGACTGCGGAAAGCGCACAGCGGCAAAGCGGCTGTAGGTCTGCGGTGGGAAAACCTGTTTGGGGGTGGAAGCATGAAGAACCATGAAACAAAAAGTGGAAGAGTAGGGTGACAGCTTGCGAAAAACTTCAGCAGGTACGTCCAGAAAGCGTCCTTTCTGGATTTCACGACCGGGCTATCACTGTCTTCGTTGGGCAGTGAGTGATAGCGGTCCACTGCCCCCCTGCTTGATGGAAATGGTGAAAGGAGCCCTTTTTCCAGGGGTGGACACACACAGATCGCCGGCTTCGGCGCTTTTTCCAAAACACCCCCTACCGTTGAACCAGTGGAAGAAAACCTTTCGCCCAGGGGTGGATACACACACACAGAGCCGTTTTTCGGAGCGGTCAAAGTAGTAGTAAGGCCAGGGGCCTCCAGTAGCGTCCTGACTCCCAGGGGAACATTTGTACAAAAAGCGCCAAATTGTTGGCGCAACGAAGAACTAGTAGACACCTAAAAAGCCTTAGAAAAACAGAAAAAGCAACGAAAAAA